GAGGCAGTTTGCATCAGGATATACCTTTTCTCACTTGCAGATATCTATGAATGACCAGTGATTAACCGACATCGCTGTTTTCAGAATCTGTCTAAAGTTCTCGTCTGCGTGACCATTTTAGTTTTCCATAGACACAATCTTGAAATTATATGAGGGCAAAAGGGAACAGAAATTGGAATTGATATACATCAGTGGTATTGATTCTCACTTTTACATTTTTCTTACTTTGTTTTGCTCTAGCATGCCTAATTGTACTACTGACACATAGTTAAAATAATGAATACATTATGTGATCACAGTAATAATATCTTTAATGGCATTATCCATGCATCAAAAAGTAACCACCGAGTTAAGGAGCATGTGTGCATATTAAGCTTGTAATGGAATTATCAGAAAGGGTTATCTGACCCTCTCAACTGACTTAGGAAGTTTATTTAACCCAAAGCAGATGACAAATTGTTTATAGGGATAAATTATCTTCATCCACTCAATCCATTGTCCCTGTTTGCCTATCTACTGCTTAGTGCTAAGTCCTAGTAAAAGGGATAAAAAAGGGTTTTCAATCACAGTCAAAATCTTGATTTGGGGGCTCCCTCCCACCCCGTGCCTATGCCTCCACTGCATAATAGGAAAAGAACTTGTGATGTCATGAAGCCTTGCCAGGCCTCTCCTGATGCAAAGGCATAACAAGCATGTCATGGAGGAAATAGGTGGGGCTCCAGGCTGCCCCAAACTGGTGGTTTTTAATCTAATTGCTAGTTATATGTTAACAAAATCTTCCATGAGGAGAATGTTCGGTATTAGGTTCATGACTGGGACAGGCATGTTATGGCAGTAGGGCTATTAAGTAAATACATTTTTTTGAAATGCAAATAAAATGCAGAAAAAGCATCAAGAAATTACCACTGAGGGAAAATAATAATAATAATAATAATAATAATAATAATAATAATAATAATAATAATAATAATAATGATGATGATGATGATGATGATGATGATGATGATGATGATGATGATGATGATGATGATGCAAGTACATCAGATGGTTGAAGAAGAAGAAATGGCTTTGGAAGAATATCTGAAGGACAATGATGAAGATGCACTGAAATTAGTATATCAGGAAGGCTTACTGACTACTGGAGAGACCAAACTGGCCTACAAGAAAGACCAAATGAAGAACAGAATAGAGGCATGGGAAGACAAAGCACTACATGGCCAGGACTTCAGAATTCAAACAGACAAGCACCTGCAACATAACACCCCAGACTTAACAATTGTCGATAAGAAAGACAAAAAAGTCTGGATAGTGGACGTGGCAGTGCCTGGAGACAGCAGAATAGACGAGAAAGAACTGGAGAAGATAACAAAATACAGAGACCTACAAATAGAAATAGAAAGACTGTGGCAAAAGCAAGCANATAATAATAATAATAATAATAATAATAATAATAATAATAATAATAATAATAATAATAATAATAATAATAATAATAATAATAAAGTTGGAAGGGACCTCGGAGGTCATCAAGTCCAACCCCCTGCTCAGGCAGGTAACCCTATACCATTTCGGACAAATGGCTGTCCAGTTTCTTCTTTAAAACTTCCAGTGTTGGAGCATTCACCGCTTCTGGAGGCAGGTTGTTCCACTGGTTAATTGTTCTAACTGTCAGGAAGTTTCTCCTTAGTTCTAGGTTGCTTTCCACCCGTTGCTTCTTGTCCTGCCTTCTGGCGCTTTGGAAAATAGCTTGACTCCCTCTTCTTTGTGGCAGCCCCTGAGATATTGGAACACTGCTATCATGTCCCCCCTCGTCCTTCTCTTCGTTAAACTAGACATACCCAATTCCAGCAGCCGTTCCTTATATGTTTTAGCCTCCAGTCCCCTAATCATCTTTGTTTCTCTTCTCTGTACTTTCTAGAGTCTCAACATCTTTTTTACATCGTGGTGACCAAAACTGGATGCAGTATTCCAAGTGTGGCCTTACCAAGGCATTGTAAAGTGGTATTAATATTTCACGGGATCTTGATTCTATCCCTCTGTTAATGCAGCCTAGCACTCTGTTGACTTTTTTGGCAGCTGCAGCACACTGCTGGCTCATATTTAAATGATTGTCCACTAAGACTCCGAGATCCCTCTCACAGTTACTACTATTGAGCAAGGTACCCCTTATACTATACCTATACATTTGGTTTTTCAAAACTTGCAGATCAAAGCTGAACGCTTATGGAAGAAGAAATTCGTTGTTATACTGAAAATCTTGGATGGCAAAGAGTTTTAAAATAAACCATGTATTTTGTAGAACGCTTATTCCGGTTGAATGGTCAATTAAATGAAAATAGCAACAAATGAGATTTTCAGATTTGACAGAAAACCTAATTTGGGTATTATGTAATTTCTGAAGTAGAAATGTTTCTTTCATGTTTCATATAATCTAATGTGCGGAATAGGATTGAGATACAGCATATCAGTAAGAAAAGAAGCATGTTTAAAATTTTTAACAAATGTTAAAAAAATAAAGCTTGGGTTTTGGTTTAATAATAGAATAGCAACTGTATATTACATACCATTCAAAGTGTATACTTACATCATAATTAAGTTTCAAACAATTGCCTTTATTCTGCTAAACTTGATGCCATAATAAATATAAGCTGTAATTACCCAAAGTCCCACCTTAACTGTGGGTTGCACATTTATCTATTTTCAGGAGAGAAATATAAACTTCTCCATGCAGGAATGTTTACGACACTGTTTTTAATCTTTAAACAATTTTATTACAGAGCACAAGTACAAATATAATTAATTCAAAATATTTAGAAAAGGAATGTTCTTCAAATTATTACACAAGATCAGTTTTGCAAAGTCTACGAGTTATTTATAAAAATAATTTGCATAACTTATGTAACATCTTTGAGAGTGACTTACAGTATGTCTTTGATAAGATTTTAAACAAAAACAAAAACAGACAAAATTTGCAGCTCTGTTTAAAAGAAACTGGACAAGATCCCTAAAAATCTCATTGTTAAAATAGAGAGCCAGTTTAGTGTAGGGTTTAAGACACCAGTTAGAAACCAGGAGACCATGAATTCTAACATCTCCTTAGGCATGAAAGCAGCTGGGTGACCTTGGGCCAGTCACTTTGGCTCAGCCCTAGGAAAAGAGGCAATAGAAAACCACTTTTGAAAAATCTTGCCAAGGAAATTGCAGAAACGTAGCCAGGCAGTCACCAGAATCAAGATTAACTCAAGGCACACATAGACATGCCAGCTTCTTTAGCGTCCTGGCCCCAGTGCATGAGAGAACCGCCAGCTACTTATGGCCTTCTGGAATGAACAGGACTGAGCGATCTCAGAGAGGGATTATTCTACCTCAAGGGTCCCCAACCTCTGGGACGTGGCCCTCTACCGGCTGCGGCCTATTCACAACCAGGCCACGTGAGCGTCAGGCCAGCGCGCACGCACAGTTCAATTCACATGTCTGCATGCCAGCCCAATGCTTGTGCGAGTTGAGCTGCGTAGTCGCGCCGGCCCAATGCTCACACGGCCCAGTTTTCCTCTTCCTTCCCCCAGGGGCCACCAAGCCGCAAAGGTTGGGGACCGCTGTTCCACATGACAGCACAATGACAAAGAGACACACTTTCTATGATCTGAAATATGCACACTTTGTATAGGTAGTCCTCGACTTACAACCATTCATTTAGTGATTGTTTGAAATTACAATGGCACTGAAAATAATGACTTATGACCATTTTTCAATTATGACCGTTGCAGCATCCCCATGCTCAAGTGATCAAAATTCAGATGCTTGGCAACTGATTCATGACAGTTGCAGTTTCCTAGGGTCATGTGGCCACCTTCTGTAACCTTCTGACAAGCAAAGTTAATGGGGAAGCCAGATTCACTTAACAACCGTGTTACTAACTGTGGTGATAACCTGTGGCAAGAAAGGTTATAAAATGAGGTAAAATTCACTTAACAACCATCTCATTTAGCAACAGAAATTTTGGGCCCAATTGTGGTCATTGAGGACTACCTATATTTTCTTCACTGTATTGAAGCATACATTTTCTCTCTAGTGACTAATCCATGTTGTATGCAGACTAAACAGAAAAGGTACACACATCTGTGGCTTTGTATGCATATGAGCACAGGGAAGCACATGGCTGGCTGCATATGTTCTGTTCTGCATCACAGAACCAGCTTGGAAAAAGGGAATTTCAGCCATTTCCCCTTGGGATGCATGAGGGAAATGCTTCTGGAATTTTCTTCTCTGCACCCTTGTCCAGATCGACTCCATTTCTGAAGTTGATTTGTTTACTTTTGCCAGCTCCTCTCCCCATGCCACATTTGTTCCCATTTTGTGACTTTTTCAGAAAACTGCCCTCTTATGGCCAGACATGGAACACCTTTACTGCAGCCGGGTTAGAGTTAAAGGAGGGAAGGGAACATCTTGGTGGCAAATCCCTTGTTGACAATCACAGAGGTCAGACGCTTCTTGTAGTTGGCCACCAGGTTTGCACACATCTCAGGAGGGATTTGACAGGTGTCTTTTATACAAGTGACAAGCTGAGATTAGAAGCACTCCCTTTAAGAGAGTGCTCCTAATTTCAGCTTGTTACCTGTATAAAAGACACTTGGGAGCCAGAAATTTTGCTGATTGATAGGGGATCAAATACTTATTTCACTCATTCAAATGCAAATCAATTTATAACTTTTTTGAAATGCATTTTTCTGGATTCTTTTGTTGTTATTCTGTCTCTCATTGTTAAAATAAACCTATCATTAAAATTATAGACTGATCATTTCTTGGTCAATGGGGGAAAATGAACAGCTGGAAAAGTTTTCACCAAAGTAGTGAAAACTGCTGTCCCCCATTACTTTACCTGAAAATGGCAAAACATACTTTCTAAAGACCATCACTCCGAGTTTAGCTTGGTTACCAACTGACATCTAAAGCAGGACAGGCAATGCTGTATTTCTTACATGCAACCACAAAACTGTATCCTATAAATTACTTTTCAAAGTTGACTCCAGCAAGTGTTGTCTGAAAAAGGCCAATATTCTTTGCCAGGCATCTTCCTGTGCCTCTGCGTGTTCTTTCCACTTTCCGCCCCAGACTACAAGAAACCCAAATTGCTTGTGGAATGAAATATGGCACAAGGGCATATAAGGGGGCTCCAGGAGGTGACCAGCTCCGGGATAGCAATAGAACTCCACGTGGCGTCCGTGCTGCTGAAGGCAACTAACAGCTTCTTGGTAGAACATTTGACTTTTCCAGTTTTTGTCATCCTGTCCACATATGAAGAGGTACTTGCATAAGGACTTTTCAACAGGGATGCGGCTTGGCCAGGTAGATGGGTCTTTAGGGTCATCCATTATTTCATAAAAATTCATTACATTTGGATTTTCAGTAGGTTTCATCTTCCTCCATTCAAAAGGATGGGGTGGAATGATATGTTCTTTCACTTTCAAGGGGACCAAAGTATTTATCCCCGAGCCAGAAATGCTGACAGCAGCTTGGATGTCTGCCCAAAATGCAGCTAAAGCAAGGGCGAGATCTGCACCTCTAGATAGTCCCAGGACTCCAATTTTCATGGATTTAACCTGAAACAACAGGAAAGGGATTGGCATAAGGTCCATATCCATTCACTCCTCCATTAATTAAAATTTATCTCCTAACTTTGTTTCCTCCAAATGGTCTGCAACCATAGCATTCAAAATACACAACAAATTTGGGGAGCACTAAGTGGAGGGAGGCTGCCCAAACAGAACTTTTTGCAACACAAGGTTGGAACCAAACCCAAGACTGCTTCAGCATCAGCTTAAGATAAATTAGCATCTATGAACTTCAGTATAAACTGAAGTTTTTTCAGTTCCAACAAGACTTCAGATTAACTGCGTTGTATGTTTAACTATGAAAGCACCAAATGATTTGTTGCTTAGTAGAAACCCCGTCCCCCACCTCCCATGATGTTAGTTTGCTTGGTACCTTTTGTTCTTTCTGCAAGAACATTATTGCTTCACCAAAATAATCTAAGTCAATGAACTCTGGAAAAGCTGGCAGATCTTCAAAAGCAAAAAAAGCAAGTGCCAGTGTAACAAAACCTCTGCTTGCCAAAAGACTTGCTCTGTACTCAACAAGTCCGCCTCCAGATCCATACAAGTCAATAATAGCTGGGAAAGGTCCAGGGCCTAAAGGAAAACATGAAAAACAAGAAGGTTTTACAGGATTATGAAACCACAGCGGCTGATACTTTTGGAAAGAAAATTCAGATAGAGACCAGCCCCTTACAAAACTCACAACATAAGGCATCCTTTCCGAAGCTAGAGCTTGCCAAAGCTTCCAGAAACCCAAATCAAACTATCTAGAGATTTAGTAGCCCAAGTCTATGCCCCAACCACTGATGCTGAAGAGGATGAAATTGACCGGTTCTATGAAGCCCTACAGCACCTTATAGAATCAACACCAAACAATGATGTCCTTATCATCATGGGGGATTGGAATGCTAAAGTAGGAAGCCAAAAGATAACCAGAAGAACAGGCAGGTTTGGCCCTGGACTACAAAAGTAGGGCACAGGCTGATAGAATTTTGTCAAGAGAATACAATGGTCATAGCAAACACTCTTTTCCAACAACCCAGGAGATGGCTCTATACATGAACATCACCAGACAGTCATCATAGAAATCAGATTGACTATGTGCTCTGCAGCCAAAGATGGAGAAGCTCTATACAGTCAGTAAAAACAAGACCAGGAGTTGACTGTGGCTCAGTTCATGAGCTTCTCATTGCAAAATTTAGACTTAAATTGAAGAAAGTAGGAAAAAACATTAGGCCACTCAGGTATGAACTAAATGATATCCCTGATGAATATACAGTAGAGGTGACAAATAGATTTAAGGAATTAGCTCTGATAGACAGAGTGCCTGAAGAACTATGGACGGAGGTTCGCAACAAGAGGTAGCAACTAAAACCATCCCAAAGAAAAAGAAATGCAAGAAAACAAAATGGCTGTCTGAGGAAGAAGGAAAGCGAAAGGCAAGGGAGAAAGAGAAAGATACACCCAATTGAATGCAGAATTCCAGAGAATAGCTAGAAGAGATAAGAATGCCCTCTTAAATAAACAGTGCAAAGAAATAGAAGAAAACAATAGAATAGGGAGGACCAGAGATCACTTCTAGAAAATTGGAGATATGAAGGGAACGTTTCGTGCAAAGATGGGCATGATAAAGGACCAAAATGGCAGGGACCTAACAGAGGCAGAAGAGATTAAGAAGAGGTGGCACAATTACACAGAAGAACTATACAAGAATGCCCTGGTATTGAATTGCAACCCTGAGGTGGAGAAATAGAAAAAATCTATAGAGTCAATTCCTGGTTGCACGTCAGAGAAATATACCTAGAGATGTGGTTGTCTACTTCACCACAAGAGTTTGTCGTAATGAAATTATACAGCTCTTTTACCAGCAGAGATTTCAAATTGCTGCACAAGATATTATACTCTTAAAAGAAATACCTTCTAAGATTTTAAGACGAAGAAAAGACTTTACTTTTTTGGTTCAGGAGCTAAAGAAGCGGCAGATGCCTTTTAGATGGGAGATTCCTTTGGGCATTGTGGTAAATTTTGCAGGGACCAGATACAGATTAAACTCTATACAGAAAGCTAGAGATTTTTATGTGTCGGTCCTGAAAGCTGATTTGTCACCATCATCACCATCTAAAGCACAGGAAGACTTGATGGAACAACTAGTTGTGGAACTGCCTGGGGCCATGTCACTATCTGCAGGAGATTCTCAGATTCAACAAAAGTTGGGAGTGAACGCAAAGGAGCAAAGGATGACTCGTGCTGCCTATAGGCGTAAAGAAAGAGAACAACAACAAAAGGAAACTGTAATATATTCACCGACTTCAGAACCAGTGGGAGGGGCAAGACCAAAGAGATCTGCAACGATAGACTTGCAGGGAATGCTGAATAAGCTTCATAAGCCAAAGGATGGTTAAATTGATGACGCTGGAAGTGAGATTTTATTATGGAAAAGGATGAAGTTAGTTTAATATTTGATTAGATATCTGTAAAGAACTTATAGTATTTTGAAAGTCTTAAAATATTTGATAAACTAAATTACTTTTCCAGCTTTGAAGAAGGAAGTATTGACTTAAGATTTTTGTTGAAAGTATTGATTTGAGAGTGAAGAAAGTGAAGGAAAAATTTAAGAGTAAAATGTAAGAAAAAATTTATATAAAATGCTTGATAGATATTTAGATTTCTAAAAATTGTTTTGAGTTTAAATGTTAAAGGTGGATAAATTATACTTAGAGAAAGTATGGAGTAAATAAATATCATATAGTTTATGAGTAGTTGTATTGTTGTTACTTATTGCATTATTAGAGTTAAAGTAGGTATATATTGATTGTATTATGTTTGTTTAGTTAAATTGTAATTTAGATATGGAATGGGATGTGTGTTAGTCCTGTATCTGGTTCCGGGAAGTCCAGGGGGGGTAGGGGACTAGGGGAATTATAAAAATTGATGTATTTACATTTTATAAGTAAATATTCATTGTATTGATAAGAGGAGATGCTCGGCTGGTATCCCAAATTGTACTCGAGGAGGTGGTTAGAAAGGTGAGGGGATGTAGGTAGGTGGTAAGGAGGAAGGTAGAGAGGTTGGGGGTTAGAGGGAGGAAGGAAAGGAAAGTAGATGAGGGTGGAGGCATGGCGGGGTCTGCCAAGCGTCTCTGAAAACGTATTGACTTGGATTATTTTTTTCTTTTTGTTTATGTACGTAAATGCATCATAATCTTTGTTAATTATAAAAATCAATAAAAATTTTATTAAAAAAAAAAAGAAGAACGAGCTTAGCGTCCCTGATAACCACGATGGGATGGTCACTGATCTCGAGCCAGAATGTGAAGTGAAATGGCCTTAGAAAATCTGAGCAACAACAAAGCTAGTGGAGGTGACAGTATTCCAGTTGAGCTATTCAAAATCTTAAAAGACGATGCAGTAAAAGTGCTACACTCAATTTGCCAGCAAATTTGGAAAACTCAACAGTGGCCACAGGATTGGAAAAGGTCAGTTTGCATTCCAATTCCAAAGAAAGGCAATGCCAAAGAATGTTCAAACTATCGCACCATTGCACTTATTTCACATGCAAGTAAGGTTATGCTTAAAATCCTACAAGCTAGACTCCAGCAGTATGTGGATCGAGAACTTCCAGAAGTACAGGCAGGATTTCGAAGAGGCAGGGAAAATAGAGATCAAATTGTCAACATACGCTGGATCATGGAGAAAGCTAGGGAGTTCCAGAAAAATATCTACTTCTGCTTCATTGACTATGCTAAAGCCTTTGATTGTGTGGATCACAACAAATTGTGGCAAGTTCTTAAAGAGATGGGAGTACCAGACCATCTTATTTGTCTCTTGAGAAACCTATCTGTGGGTCAAGAAGCAACAGTGAGAACTGGACACGGAACCACTGATTGGTTCAAAATTGGGAAAGGAGTCCGGCAAGGCTCTATTTTGTCACCCTGCCTATTTAACTTATATGCAGAGCACATCATGAGAAAGGCAGAGCTAGCTGAATCAAAAATTGGAATTAAGATTGCCAGGAGAAATATCAACAACCTAAGATATGCAGATGATACCACTCTAATGGCAGAAAGTGAAGAGGAACTAAAGAGCCTCTTCATGCGGGTGAAGAAGGAGAGTGCAAAAGTTGGCTTGAAACTCAACATTAAGAAAACCAATATCATGGCATGCGGCCCTCTCAATTCCTGGCAAATAGATGGGGAAGAAATGGAGGTAGTGACAGATTTTATCTTCCTGGGCTCCAAGATCACCGCAGATGGGGATTGCAGCCAAAAAATCAAAAGACGCTTGCTCCTGGGGAAGAAAGCTATGGCAAATCTAGACAGCATACTAAAAAGCAGAGACATCACCCTGCGAACAAAAGTATGTATAGTCAAGGCCATGGTTTATCCAGTTGCAATGTATGGCTGTGAAAGTTGGACCATAAGAAAGGCTGAGCGACAAAGAATTGAGGCCTTTGAACTATGGTGCTAGAGAAGACTCCTGCGAGTCCCTTGGATTGCAAGGCGATCAAACCGGTCAGTCCTAGAGGGGATCAACCCTGACTGCTCTTTAGAAGGCCAGATCCTGAAGTTGAAACTCAAATATTTTGGCCACCTAATGAGAAGGACTCACTGGAGAAGAGCCTAATGCTGGGAAAGATTGAGGGCAACAGAAGAAAGGGACGACAGAGAATGAGGTGGCTGAATGGAGTCACTAGAGCAGTAGGAGTGAGCTTAAATGGATTCCAGAAGATGGTAGAGGACAGAAAGGCCTGGAGGAACGTTGTCCATGGGGTTACGAGGGGTCGGACACGCGCAACTAACAACAACAACAGAGATTTAGAAATTTCAAGCACACTTGGAGAACAACAAACAGCTGGAGAAGGCTGTTTTCAGACTACTAATGAAGCCTTGCTTCACTGGCTAGTCTACAATAAATGGATACCAGGGAGTGTCTCACCTGTGATAGTCCCCAGGTGGGAAACAGCATTCCTAGTTTTACTGAACTGGAATGCTTCTGTATTCAGATTTAGACTAATTCAGTAGTTATTTTGATTTAATGTTGCTGTTTGACAAGTTAGTTTCCTTAGAATTTTATGGCCTAGAACTGTGACATTTTAGTCATTAATTTCATACAATATATTTTGTGTCCATAGCAAAGAGCATCTAAACTTGGAAGAGAAGAAGGAAGACATAAGACCCTATACCATTTCACACAAATGGCTGTCCAGTCTTTTCTTAAAAACTTTCAGTGTTAGAGCATTCACCGCTTCTGGAGGCAGGTTGCTCCACTGGTTAATTGTTCTAGCTGTCAGGAAGTTTCTCCTTAGTTCCAGGTTGCTTCTCTCCTTGATTAGTTTCCATCCATTGCTTCTTGTCCTGCCTTCTGGCGCTTTGGAGAATAGCTTGACTCTTCCTTCTTTGTGGCAGCCCCTGAGATATTGGAACACTGCTATCATGTCCCCCCTCGTCCTTCTCTTCATTAAACTAGACATACCCAATTCCAGCAACCGTTCCTTATATGTTTTAGCCTCCAGACCTCTAATCATCTTTGTTGCTCTTCTCTGTACTCTTTCTAGAGTCTCAACATCTTTTTTTATATCATGGTGACCAAAACTGGATGCAGTATTCCAAGTGTGGCCTTACAAAGGCATTGTAAAATGGTATTAATACTTCACGTGATCTTGATTCTATCCCTCTGTTAATGCAGCCCAGCACTGTGTTGGCATTTTTGGCAGCTGCAGCACACTGCTGGCTCATATCTAAGTGATTGTCCACTAGGACTCCGAAATCCCTCTCACAGTTGCTACTATTGAGCAAGGTCCACCTATACTATACCTGTACATTTGGTTTTTCTTGCCTAAATGTAGAACTTTACTTTTTTCACCATTGAATTTCATTTTGTTAGATAGCGCCCAGTGTTCCAGTTTGTCAAGATCCTCCTGTATCTTAAGCCTATCTTCTGGAGTGTTGGCTATTCCTGCCAGTTTGGTGTCGTCTGCAAATTTGATGAGTTCCCCATCTATCCCCTCATCCAAATCATTGATGATGTTGAAAAGCACTGGGCCTAGAACAGAGCCCTGGGGCACACCACTGCACACTTCCCTCCATTTCCCTCCATTACCCACTTCCCTCCATGTAGATTGAGGACCAATTCTGGATCCCAATTGGAATTTTATTTCCTAAAGCTTGTGGACTGAAAGATTTTTTACTCTTTATTTTTTACTATATCTGTCTGTTGAAAATTTGGATTTTTCCTTAAAAACAAGAAGAAAAACTGAAAAGATTAAAAAAAATTCTGGGACTCAAAGGGAAACTTTAAAGGGTAGAGGCGACCGTGTGGTCAAATTTGGTATATCAATCTGTTATTCTTCAGGAGCTTGGCTGAACAGCCCAGAAAACAGATAAGACATATGTAACCTTGAAATTTTTGAAACAACAGCTGTGAAAAGCTCTGCTGTGCTTTTTATTCAGAAAAAAAAAGTTTTTCTTTCTTTTGGATTTCCTAATTGTAAAGCCTCTAGTCTAAAATACCAATATGGAAGAAGATCAGGAACAGAATTTCCTTATGGCTAAAGATCAACAAATTCTTTTAATGTTGAAAACAATTATTCAAACTCTCATCACAGCCGATGAAGAATTAAGAGGCTACAGAAAAGAACAAAAAGGCAGCCTGGATATGAAAGCCCAAACTTTGAACACAACTAAACAACCATCTCTACAAAATACAACAGAAAAAGTGGAGCATTTAAATACCTTGACAGAAGAATTAACTGCTCAACAAACACTGAAATTTGAAAATCCAGAAAAGACACCGATAATATGGAAAAAGGAAAAGGTTTCCTATGTAAATCAGAAGGAATTAGAGGATCCAGAAAAAGAACAGTTGGAAGAGAAGATAAACAATTCAGAACAACCACGTCGATACAGAAAAATACAGAGATGACCTACCAGATCTACTAGTCCTATCAAAAAAATGGTGACCGGATGGTTTTGTCAATGCCAAATAACATATATGACAATACAAGAAAATTGTTTTGATGACCCAAAAACAAGGACATGGAAGATGACTTGGCAAAAGAAAAAAAGCTAGAATAAGACTAAAGAAGAATGGAGTTTTGACCGTCTTATGAAAATTTAAAATAGAATATATTTAAATAGATAAGACATGTATGTTGAATATAAGACATTGCTAGGAATTGAGATAAAGAAAAGTTTTTGGCCATTAAAACTTAGTAGCATAAATACTAATAGCTAAATTTGAATATTGATTTGTGTATAAAGAAAGAAATTTGTGTATAAAGGTCATGTAAAGGTGAATAGGATACAGATAAACTAAAAACTTATTGATGAAAGTAATAAACAGGTCTATATGGAACGTTAAAAACAAAAAATATTAGTTCAAACATGAGATAGCAGATACAAAGAGGAAGAGAGAAGAAGGATTAAATATTGAAATAAAAAGAAATTTTGATCACTAATTTAAGAAATTCAAAAATTAGCAGAAAATAAGGATATCATATTGTATTATTAATTTGTCGATATAGAGGCTGAGAAGTTAAATAGATAAGATGTGTATTCTGAATATTAGATTTTGTGAGGAATGGTGATAGAGGAATTGGGAGTATTTCAAATCTTGGGAATGATAAATATCAAACGTTAAATTTAAATATTAGTGAGAATTAAAATTGGAAAAATTTATTAGGTCATTGATTGTCTAAAACAGTGATGGCGAACCTTTTAGAGACCAAGTGCCCAAACTGCAACCCAAAACCACTTATGTATCACCGGGTGCCAGGTGGGTGTGGTCTGCTGGGTGGGCGTGGCTACAGTGGTCATGGCAGATGGGTGGGCGTGGCCAGCTTGATGTTGCTCCTGGGGAGGGACACCTGTGGGGGCCGGGCAAGGTTGGGGAGATCCAGGGGGTCTTTGGTGGGTGAGGCGGTGAGCAGGAGGCTTGTCCTGCGGGATGAGGTGAGGCAGGGCGGGGGTGCCATTGTCGCAGGGCAAGGTGAGGCAGGGGCCGGGGCGGCTGCTGCCTGACACCATTGGCCCCTGCACACAGAGACCAGCGAGCGCATGGGTGCTGGGATGCATCCGGCCATGTGGGACCTCGGCGAGTTAGCGGGCGGCTGGTTGAAGAGAATGGTTGCCATCTCCGGGGCATGGTGCGCGTGCCCACAGAGAGGGCTCTAAGTGCCACCTCTGGCACGTATGCCGTAGGTTCGCCACCACTGGTCTAAAAGATTATATGTTAAAACAATTAGAATATATATAAACTAAAAACTATTGATATATGTAAGAAAGTTATGTTTTATATGATTGATAGAATAAGAATTGTTTTAATTTACATATGGACAATATATATTAAGGGGAAGAGAGAGGAAATGTTTATGGTAGTAGTTTGAAATCCGTACTAATGATATCTGTATGTAATTGAATTATTACAACCCAGCCGCCACGTTGCTTTTCAAATATGTGAATGTTATATTAGAAAATCAATAAAATTTGTAAAAAAGAAAAAGAAAACATGAAAAACAACAAGGTTTTACAGGATTATGAAAGCACACCAGCTGATACTTTTGGAAAGAAAATTCAGATAGAGACCAACCTCTTACAAAACTCACAACTTAAGACACCCTTTTCCAGAGCTAGAGCTTGCCAAAGCTCCCAGAAACCCAAATCAAACTATCTAGAGATTTAGAGATTTCCATCACACTTGAAGAACAAACAAACAAACAGCCTGAGAAGGCTATTTTCAGACTACTAGTGAAGCCTTGCTTCACTGCCTAGTCTACAATAAATGGATAACAGCATTCCTAATTTTACTGAACTGGAATACTTCTGTATTCAGATCTAGACTAATTCGGTATTTTAATTATTTTGATTTAATGTTGCTGTTTGACAAGTTAGTTTCCTTAGAATTTTATGGCCTAGAATTGTGTCATTTTAGTCATTAATTCCATACAATATATTTTGTGTCCACAGCAAAGAGCAACTAGACTTGGAAGAGAAGAAGGAAGACATAAAATGGAGATTAAAATGGATAGCACACCTGCCATTTTTAAAACATCACAAATAGAGCTCAAATCTATAGCAATTTCTAGAGATGCAGTCTTACTCGTTTGCTCTAAAATTCATATGACTCGAATTTGGGAACCTAGAAGGGAAGCAGCTCCAGGGATGGAAGGGGGGGGGGGGCTCCGCTATTTTCAATTAACTACCTTAAGGATGAAATAGTTTCCAGCGAGTTCCCGCTTTCCCACAGCCTCCTAAGCGTGTTTCAGAGATCTCAGCCTCGCCACCCTGGAGTTTGAGCCCATCCACTCGCGCAACTCACCCGGCGGGCAGAAAAGCGTGGCTCTGAGCCGGCCTTCTCGGACGGGCACTCTTTTCACGCCCTCGGCCATGAAGCGCCTCTCGCTGCGGCAGCTGCAAAGGAGTGAGCCGGTGACCCCGCGCCCGTCGTACACCTCGTAGGTGACATAGAAAGGGGTGAGGACGTTTCTCTTCCTCAACCTCTTATGGGGAGTCTTGGATTCCAGCGTCCACAGTAAGCCCATGGGCTCGACCCCAGAGTAGCTCCCACCCAAGGAGGGGGAGCAGCTGAGGTCCAATTCTCCGTTACCTTCAGCCCGATAGTAAGCGCACGATTGGAAAAGGTTACCGCTTTCATCCACCAAAGAGGCCGCGACTGTGACCTCCTGCAGCGGGGAGAGGCCCTCGATCTTCACCTGAACGGGATCGTCATACAGGCAGGCGGGGGAAGGCAAGATCAGAATGCGTGCAGCCATCAGAGCAGGTTTGCTAAAGCCAGGCAGATTCCCTTTGCTTCCGCGCAGTGCCGGTGCCCGCTTATTTTGTTCCCTGGACTTTTGGCTCCCAGTTTACAATCCAAAGGATTCAGGGCGGAGAATAAAACCACGCGGTGAGGGTTTCTGGGAAATGTAGTTCTTAAACATCAGAAAGCGAGATAATTGGTGCACGTAAGTTGTTAAGACGTCAAGACAGAAACAATTCTAGTCCGGCTTTAGGCACGATGCCAGCTGGGTCCCGACTTTGAGCCAATCACACACTCTCAACACTGGGAATGAGACAACAGCAAACCAGTTTTCAAAACCTTGCCAAGGATAACTACAGGGACTTGTCCTCTCTTGCTCAGTCGCGTTGTGCCTTTTTCAAACTACAGTTAACACATTTCGTGCAGCACACGTCCCATCATCAGATGCAGCCAATCGCAGAGCAAGGAGCGGGAATCAATATTGTACACCATCACATAATAATAGTCACAAAGGTCTGACAAATTATGGGAGGAGCTACCAAGCGGAAGTCAAATCAGCTCTGCGAACTACCAAAATGCTGCTAGAGTTGCCTTGCTTAGTTTGGCCCCTTGCGCAGCAGACTTAGCAATCAAATAGCAAAAGTGAGGAGAACTTTTGACTTTGACGTTACTTCTATGACATAGAGATTTTGTGGACAAAAAGCTACTCAAAAAATATGAGAATATCTTATTGAAACAACTGCCGTATTGAAATATTGCCATGATGTCTATTGTAAATCATGTTCATTAGGAACTAAAAGATTATTTACTTATTGCACATTTATTTAAATATTTATTTGCAACCATAAATTTTAATAAAACACATATGAAATTACAGCAATCACATTAGTTCAACACATCCGCTGCTAATATTGACAGCACTATTTTGTCAAAATGTGCTTTGGCATCTTCCTTTGCAGCCATTGCAAACAATGCAAATTCTTTCATTATGCTTACCTTCATCAGACAACATATCTTTTCTTCTACACTGCACTGATTCAATTGGCATAACAAGGGTGTAATAAATCTAGCCTGGGTTCCTGATAAAAGATTGTAATGTATTAAGCAATGAGTCAAATGTTCCACCTGTTGTTACAAATGCATAAATTGTGTGTAATTGGTAATCCTTTGTACCTTCCATTCAAAGAGGCTGTTGGCATTGTTTGAAAGCAAAGTTCTGTAAAGGATTGTCTCAAGCAATGGGATGTAAGAGGTCAATCGGAATAGAGCTGGAAGGGACCTTGGAGGTCTTCTAGTCCAACCCCTACTCGAACAGGAGACTCTCAGACAAATGGCTGTCCAGTTTGTTCTTAAAAATCTCCAGTGATGAAGCACCCACAATGTCTGAAGGCAAACACTTCCACTAGTTAATTGTTCTCACTGTTAGGAAGTTTCTCCTTAATTCCAGGTTGCTTCTCTCCTTGATTAATTTCCATCCATTGTTTCTTGTCTTGCCTTCAGGTGCTTTGGAAAATAAGCAACCTCTCAAATACTGGAATACTACTATCATGTCCCTCCTAGTCCTTCTTTTCTCTAGACTAGCCAAATCCAAATCTTGCAACCTTTCATGTGTTTTAGTCTCCAGGCCTTTAATCATCTTCGTTGCTCTTCTTTGCAATTTTTCCAAAGTCTCAACATCTTTTTTGTAATGTAATGACCAAAAATGGATGCAGTATTCCAGTTTTTTGACCTTACTAAGGCTTTATAAAGCCTTAGTATCAAAATCATATGATTTTGATTCTATGACTCTGTTTATACAACCAAGGATTGTATTAGCTTTTTTGGCTACTGCCAACTATGAGAAATAGAAATTTTTTGCTTGCCTCTCTCCTATTGCTGTCATTATGTGCAAGCATCCAAATCTGTATACCACTCAAAAAACTGTCAAACTATATTTAAATGCTGCAACCACTTAGCTGACCAAAATAACATCTGGTTTTATCCCATTTGAATTCAAATAATTTTTGATCAGATTTCAGTCATTATGCTCATACATTCAAACTGCTAAAATTTACACCCTAGATTTCTTAATCTTTTTTTCTTCCCATTCTAATAGCATGTCTTTTTATGATAGCAACCACTATGCAAGAATACACCTGTTCCCAAAATGAACCCAATGTGATAGTAAACTTGTTTTATTCCTCCTATAATCACAAGCTGGCTAATTGAGTCCTCTTTCAAAACAGAAAAAAAGCAATATTACACACTTGACAGATTCCTTTAAAATAACAATTATATTGTGATAACTGTGAAGTATTGGCTTATTTGCTGCAAAACCCTGAGCATTTCTCTTCTTCTTTTGATAAATACAAAAAGATTTCCATAATAGTTAACCTGAGAACATAGGTATATGACATTTAGTATTCAGAACAGCTCATAAAGTAGCTCTACTGATTATTATAGCATAACATATATATTATACACCAAGGATTATAGTCAATTTTCAAATTCAAAAATTATTACTACATCCTCACTGTTGCAACCATCAGATGAAAACAAGTATACAGAATTCAAAATAGCATAAATATATAGGACAGAATATCTTATTCCTTCAGCATTAACATGTCCACGCTCTGACTCTTTCCTGACATCACACCTGAAAATCAAGGTTGTGTTCAACTCCATCGTTAGCTACATTTAAGACAACCAGTTCAATGGAACTCATTTCTGATCAAACACAAACAGTACAGGCAGTCCTCGATTTACCATATTATCTGAGCCTGGCAATTAGTCATGACGGTTGTAAAGTGGGTCACCAAGTGACCAGACCTGATTTTACCTTTATTGTTAAGTGAATGCCGCAGTTATTAAGCAGACCAATTGTTGTTTGGGGCAATTTTTGTGGGAAATCAGAAATAAATGCAAACTATTGTAAATCATGGTCATGTGATTGCAGGATGCTGAAAACAGCTATAAAGGGAGACCAGTTGCTGGGTGACAAAAATGTGGTCATGCGACTGGGGAGATAGTAACGTCATAACTTCGAAATAGGGTCATAAATTCCTTTTGAATGGTTGGTCATAACCTTGAGCAGTTGTTAAGCAACCAGTCATAATTCAAGAACTACATATAGTAGACTATACATTTATTTAAAATTTTAAAAGGCCATTCAAAGGACCATGATTGCTTATATACAATGCTAAATTATTCCCATTCTGTGTTAACCTAAACCAGGCATCTTTGGCATTTATTTAATGTTTGTGGATCTAAACATTACATGTTAGAAACCATTGTTTGTGACTTAATAATAGATGGAAGACTTTTGCAATTTCAACAAGTCTTCAGATTATCACAATGTGTGAAGTCAAGAGAACATACTTGCCTAATACATGGGGAATATACTGGAGGATTCTTGCATTATTTAGTGAAACACCTAATATTATAGGAAGCTGGATGATTCTATTTAGGTATTCAGCTGAACAATCCCTTGAATAAGGGATTATGGGACTAGTCCTGCAATTTTTTCCTAACCTGCATATATTTAGCTGAAGCCTGAAAGTGAATTATATATAATTATATATAAGAGATGGTGAATAGCATATTACTTGCCCATCTAACAAATTGGTACCATGTACTAATTTAAGCTTACATAACTGCTATCTGTCATGTCTAAAATGTTTTAAAAAATAGTCTCTCAATAGAGATTTTTTTATATCCATATGTCGTTTAACAGCTTATAACAGTAACTCTGAGTATTGTTCCAACAAGGCAAGAGTTTGATCATCTCCAAAATGCCAAGGACTAGATAAAGTTCCAGGTCTATAAAGCCTTCATAAGCTTTTACTTTATTCCTCAATTCATCAGTCCTAACAGAGACAGATGTGTGTGGATCAAATAAAGCTAGCACAATCTGTGTAGTTAGGACAGAGTGGTAGCCATCATGTCATCCACTGATTTACTGGAAGCCCAATAATCCCATTATAGTGTACAGGTGGTAACCTGAATACTATCTGTGCTCTGTCAGAGAAATTATGACAGTAAGTATTATGCAGTGTATTCTTTTCCTTGCTGGTGATGGTATATGTTGATCCTCATCATTCTGAGAAGTAGCTTCTATCCAAAATCCTAGAAATGTGTAATGCTTGAACCAGGCCCGAACTCAGAGATGACCATATTGCTTGAAGGCCTAATGGGTAAAGAAATAGAAAGCTAGCAGATACTATGCACTAATCACTACTCCATATTTTTTTCATCCAACAGACATATAGAGATATTGAATGATACTGAGGACTTAAAACAGTTTATCTGCAGAAACCCATTTTGCACTAGAAGTAGATGGTGTCATCTCCAAACATTATCCTGAAATCTCATCGGAAAGGAGATGCTTAATGTTTTAAGATAATATTGTTATCTTAATCAGAATATGATTTGGCAACTGACAGAGTGATGAGACAAAGCATTTCATTGAAAATAAGAGAACAACTGTGTAAGATACAGTTTGGCCAACATCTCCTATAATGCTTTCATATGATATAAAAATTGCCTTTTGTCCTTATGAGATCAATTATGAAATTATTTATTTAAATTATATGAATAAAGGTATACAAACATTCTAAGCACAGTTCCATATTAGATGTAAAAGGTTAGCTGTTCCAAGAAGATCCCAAGACTGGTTGTGCAGCTTTTGAGAGAGAATCCAACAGCTGATAATAGGAGTATTTTAGATCATATTCCATATCATACCAATAATTCACTGAGGAAGAAAGAAAAAGTATTTTAATACTATTAATAGTATTTTATCCCATAATTTAAGTGTTATAATGAACTTTGTGGTTCAACGCAAATTAAAAATCACATTTATAGATATTCTACCTTTAGTATTATTACCAATTCTCAACCCAACACTGCGTTTTGACAGATTCTGTCATTGGAACCTTGGAAGAGAGTAATCCAATTGTTCTGCCCATTATAAATAAATTCAGCCAAGTGATTTCAACAGTTCTGCTTCAATAAAAAAACTTTATTAGTAGCATTAGTTACTACATGGCTATAAAAGCATTCCAGTACAATATTTTCAAATATAATCCAGTTTTATATATTTTTCATGGAAACAGAATTTACATTTTTTTTAAAAAAGGGGGGTGAAGTAGAGAGACATCATACAGAATCAATTGTGAAGACGAACTTTACTTTAAATGAACACAGGTACAGGTGGTCCTTAAATTAACTCGGTTAATTAGGAGTGCAATTTCTACTGCTAAGCAATGCAATTGTAAAGTGCAATATTATGTACTTAGCAGCCACAATTTCAGCAGTCTCATTGCTGTTGTTAAAGGAGGACCCCCTTGCAATTTCCTGCCAACTTCCAACAAGCAAAATTCATGGGAAAGCTGGCAGGAAATACCAAATCCTGGGCAAGCTGTCAAGGAGGCTGGCGGGCAGGTAAAATGACTGCTGTAGCAATGACTGAGCGGTGGATGGCTGCTGCAGGGTGCAGAAAGTGCGCAAGGTGAATTCAGCCATGTGAGCATGCTACAGAGTGCATGGAAAAGGGATGCTGCAGTCAGGTACACACTAGGGTGTATAACAGGGGTCCCAAACCCCCAGTCCATGGACCGGCAGCGGGCCGTGGCATGCCAGAAACTGGGCCACGTAAACAAGTGAAGCCCCATCTGGAGAATGCAGGCAGCACACAAAACCATGTTCCCTCCGGTCCATGGAAAATCCTCTCTCCACAGAACCGGTCCCTGATGCCCAAAAGGTTTGGGGGCCACTGGTATATGAGATCCCTGGGACTGTGTACTCCATAGGTGGGCTCCTCAAGAGAAAAAGCAGCAGAAGTGGGAGTGAACTACAGGAATGACTTGCAACCTTCCCTAACAGCTTCCCCCATTGAGTTTGCTTGTCAGAAGCTGGCAGGGAAGGTCACAAATGGCAAGCAGGTTCTCAAGGGCCCGGTTTATGCCCACACGATTGCAGGAGTACAGAGATGACCAGTCGTAAGTTCCACTTATTCAACACTACAGTAACTTCGAACAGACACTGAAGGAATGGTCATTAATCAAGGACTATTTATAGCATCTATGCAATTCTTTGAATTGCAGCAGAGGAACTGGTAAACTGTCAAAATATTGTGGTAGAATTTGAACTTTCCAATGAAAACACATTATTTTCAGATTTCATCTGTTCAAAGACTGGCTTGGATTCTGAGTTGCCTTCTATAAAATAAATATTATTTCAAGCGGGAGTTCCAACTACTCAAAGAAGATAAAGGTAATTTTTATCAATTCTTTCTTCTGCAATCTCCTCAAGGTAACCGAAGACTCCCTCTAAACATGTACCCAATACTCTTCAATACTCTACTCTACTTTACTCTACTCTAATTATGTCTGCCTGCAAAACTATTCCATGAGTACAATCTGAATGAGTGAAGCCAGATCTGCTCCTACAAGTGATTTATTTTGGAATGATCATAGTATCTCTCCTGCCAGGTAAGTGTACTAACCTTTTATACCTCTACTCTTGTTAAGCTTCTTATTTTTTATATATTTTATAAATTTCAGTTTTAATTCATATATCTTCTAGGTTTTCATTTTTTTTCTTTTGTTAAATTCTGGTGCATTTTCTATGATTTTAAATTGACTGCATCCCACCCTCCTTATACTGGCCTATGACAATAATAAAGATTTGATTTGATATTTTGGAATGACATTGAAAACAATCTAACTGAAGTCAGAAGGAGATCATACACATATTGATGGAGAAATCTGGTGAGCTTGTAGCTATTATAAATTAAAAGATACTTTTGGCATTTTTCTTACCTGCTATGCAGCCATGTGATTGCTGAACATGATGGAACCAAAGAGAAGGAAGATACAACATTTCACCAGACTTCACAGTACATCTTAAATGCTTTGCTTGAGCATATTCTGGGTATCGTTTCAGATCTGGATTTAAAGGATCTAAAGGGATCCAGGGTACCTGGATGAAAGTTTAATATTATATTAATAGCTATTAATAAGATAATTATTTCTTCCAGAATTGAATCATTTTTTTCTTTTTATGAGAAATATTTGAAAAGCACTGAAAATAGAATCCTTTACAATTATTAAGCAGTACAACCAAATGTCAAAGGACTTTTAAAAATAATTATTTAATTAAAATGTACACTTAGTACTTTGCTTAAATTAATAGCAAGTTATTGGCATTTATTCTATGAAACATAATACAGTGCATTCATAAAGTATTCAGAACCCCTTCACTTTTGTCAATTTTGTTATGCTGCAGCCTGATTCTACAGTTGTTGAAATTTATTTTTTTCTCATTAATCTACATTCAGTACCCCATAATGACAAAGTGAAAACAGAATTTTAGAAATATCTGTAAATTAAAAAGAATGAACAAAATTGACAAAAGTGAAGGGGTCCTAATACTTTCTGAATGTACTGTATGTCCCTCTGTATCTTGCCAATCTTTGGAAGGTGTGTTAGTATTGTGGAAGCAGGACTGAATGTTAACATTTAATTGCCAGTTGTGTTTGTTCCCTGACATATACTGATGCATAAAAGTGAACCCTTTTGAATTTTCAATATTTCTGCATAAATAAGTTTTCCTTAATCATAAATGCACAAGTATAATGTTTTTGACCCATTTGTTTAATTGGGTTCTCTTTATCTAGTTTTAGGACTTGTGTGAAAAACAGATACCATTTTAGGTCATATTTATAGCATCATTATGCATATCACTATTGCTCATATGTATAATAAATAAATAATAGATCTGAGAATCATAGCATATTAAGCAGAATATCACATCTTATTTTTAATCTATAATGGAACATGAAAAATATTATTAAAATAAAGTAGACTGAAAGGTACGCATACCTTCTCTGCTGTTTTATCTTCCAGAATATCAAATAACCCATCTTCTGAGATGTGGTAAGTTGCTGGGGGATACAACTCTGGAACATGATATACAGACATAAACTGGTTAGGATTAACTCTGCAGTTCCCCACACTATGTATGCACCAAGGCACCTCAGGGCAAGGTGGCAAACTCAAAGGAGCATCATGGGATATTTTACCACTGAATATAGATTGTTATCCTTAAAACAGATTGTTTTACTGGAATTTATTTTTTACAGAAACCTGAACTTGAATTTATATATAGCTAGAGAGAGGGGGGAGGTATATGTATGTATGTATTTATATAAATATAAAAAATTCATACATACATCCGCATATAAACACCTGCTTTAATACTGAGGGCAAATCAGGCATTCTGTGAGAATTCATGACTGGAATTCTCTTTTCCTCCCTTTCTTTTTAAGCCACACTGGGGAGAAGAATTTGGAGTGGGGCCACAGCACAGTGTAAATATAACTCTTTGGTTAATAAATCCACATTCTAGCTCCCCAATACATATCAGCATTGGAAAATTTTAAGCATACTTTTTCCCCTTCAAAGTTAACAGCAATTTCAGAAGAAGGGAATTTAGCAAGGAGTAGACCTGTCCCACTCCCCCTTACCAATAGCATCAGTCTAAAATGTCTCCATTTTCACCTAGATGCATTTTATAAATATTTCAAAAACAGGAAAGAAACCACAAATCCCATGTAATCCCCAGTTTGGTTACTGATTTTTTTTTTCTTCCAGAAATTGTGCCAGAAGTTTGAAGTCTACAGCACAGCCTTCTCCAGCCTGATGTGTTCCAGATGTTTGAGGAATATAACTCTAAAAATGCCCAGCCCACAAAATTATTGTTCCAATAATCTATAGAGTAACAGGTTGGGAAAGGTTATTGCAGTGCATTATGCCCAAGTACAGGTAGTCCTCGACTTATGGCTACAATTGAGCCCAAAATTTTCATTTCTAAGCAAGACAGTTGTTAAGTGAGTTTTGCCCCTTTTTACAACCTTTCTTGCCACATTTGTTAAGGGAACCACTGCCGTGAAGTCAGTAACACAGTTGTTAAGTAAATCTGGCTTCCTCATTGACTTTGCGTATAAGAAGGTCGCAAAAGGTGATCACATGATCTCAGGACACTGCAACCATCATAAATATAAGTCAGTTGCCAAGTATCTGAATGTTGATCCTGTGACCATGGGGATGTTGCAACGGTCATGTGAAAAACAGCCATAAGTCATTTTTTTTCAATGCCGTTATAACTTTGAATGGTCACTAAATGAACTGTTAAGTCGAGGACTATCTGTAATGGGAGAAGCTGATAGAGCATCTTATACTATGCTAATAGGCCTATGAAGTCAAGATGTAGAGCAGGAACACCAAACTTATGGGCATCACACAACTTGCCAGGATTCCTACTGTGACTTCAGTGGATGTTACAATGGTTGTGTGAAAAATAGTCATAAGTCACTTTTTTCAGTACTGTTGTAACTTCAAATGGTCATTAAACAAATGGTTGTAAGTCGAGGAATACTCGTAATGTCTTCCTTGTCCCACTACAGTTACCATCTGCTGGGTGAACAAGTAGCCAAAGCAACAGAAGAGGGATGGGCCAAGAGATTCTGAAAGGATCTCATCTTCTTATGCCTTTTCCAAGCTTCTCATACACCTCAGCTGTATCTACCACCCGTGCTGTATGGCGATTATCCATGCTTTGCTTATTTAAAAAAAGCCACAGTCCCTGCTGCATAGCAAAATATTGAAGCCTAGGCATTTTTGAATAACTCACAAAATATCAACATCATGCAACTGACACTATTCCTATCCATTTCTCAAAATACCTACCATATGGGATGAAGGGACGGTCACTTGGCGGATGCAACAAAAAATGTTTCTCTCCAGAAATCACGCAGTACAAGTTTTCATAATGGTCTTTGTGTACTAAGGTAGGAGGGAGAAAAATGAAAGACTGGGAAAAGGAAGAGGGAATGGTCATTTGTTACCTCCATAATAAAGAGAGTACAAAAATAAAGCTCAAGTATGAATGTATACGGATTAGCATAATTCCATATGCTTGCACTGTCCATGAATTGGCTTGTGGGTTTTTTTGTTTTTTGTTTTGCTATCCTCCAATCGTTTTAAATACAGACTACAACGACATTCAGCAATCAGGACTTGGGGGAAAAAACTCAGCAGGTTTCTAGGTAAGCCTTTCATTATGCAATTGCTCTGCCTGATTCCCTGAACTGAGTCCAGGCATCATTGCCTGTTATTTATAATCCTTCTGTGTCTTCTGAATGCCTCTCCCACCCACTTTCTTGCCTCCAAAATTCTGTCCAGATGAAGTAACTGCAACATGGTAGTGGGGAACTAGGTTCAGTTACAGTAACAGTTGGGAGTAAGGATGATATTTCAAATATTAAGTTCCCCAAAAGCAGAAATTTTCCTCTATTTTTTTTAAAGGCGTTTTGGTGCCCAAATTTGCCTTCTAATTATAAGCTGCAGCAGAGAACGCACTGATCTCATACATACATGAGGTCACGGCAGAAGATTCTCCCAGCCAGAAATTCACAGCATCGGGCTTCTTTCCTATTAAAAAAAAAGTCAAATCAGAAAAAGGTCTGGGTTTCTGTTATCTTACCTTGCAGATCTTCTGCTAAAGAATTTTATTTTCACTCAGTCAATTAGCAGCCTTTCTTGACATCTTTTCTAAATAAATCTGGAAGAAACAGCTGTTAATGTCTCAGAAATATATATTATCGTTATTATGCACATGGATGAATTATTTTATATGCCCAATGAAAGTAGCTAACAACAGATGCTTATTTTCACTCTGTCTTTTTTCCTTCCTAGCATTTTCTTGAAAGTGCAGGGTCTGCTATTTTTAGATCACCCAAGCCTGATGTCGTGGAAATGGCCCAAAGTCAGCCAACTTTCATGGCTAAGGCCGGATCAGAACTCATAGCCTCATGGTTTCTGGCCTGGTGCTTTAACCACTAGACCAAACTGGCTTTCTTATGTTCATTCTCTTCCGATTTTTACTTTTCATTCCTCAATAGTTATGTTATATAATGTTCCTTAAAATTAAAACTCAGAGAATCAGACTCTAGGAATTGGAAGGAATATAATAAAATATCTTCTGCAGTAGCCACCCAGCAAGAAAGTCCATCATTAATCTAGGCAGAAGGTTCTGCTGCTCAAGAGCTTTTATCATCAAGAAATTTCTTCTAGTATTCTGTAAGTTCAGCAACACCCAGATATAATTATTTAAATAGGTTTAACTGTACAGTTTTAGTGTTAATTATAAAAAAACAATCCAACAACTTGGGATAACTGAATCTATGTCCTCTGTCTATAAGCTTCTATAATAGGGTTTGGTTTGGGAGAAGGGAGAAAGTTAAACTTGATTAATAAACTAAGTTCTTCTAGAGCAGTGTTTCTCAACCTTGACAATTTTAAGGCATGTGGACTTCAACTCCCAGAATTCCACAGCCAGCATTGCTGGCTGTGGAATTCTGGGAGTTGAAGTCCACATGCCTTAAAATTGTCAAGGTTGAGAAACACAGTTCTAGAGAATAACGGAAGAACCAAATATCACATTAACTCACATACTAGCAGCACTTCACCATCATGTAAACTAAATATGGGAATTGGTCTGAAGCCAATGGTTTTACCTCTAAACTGGGTAAATGTATTCATGGAATTGCTGGACATAGTTAGGGATGTCAAAGAACTGCTGATAATACAGGTAAAATAAAGAAAACACTATATTGTACTACACCATTTAACATAGTATTCTTAGATCTTCAAAATGTCTGTCCTTGTTTTCTGCAAAAATCTACTAAAAAGCGGTAATTCACCATCTTAAGACCAACAACTCCAGAGCCTCTTGATAACTTCATGGGAAGCAACTCCAACTATTGGTGCAAATCTATCTATAAAAAGGGTTATTGCACAAAGTCAAAAATGTCAACATAATGGCTGTAATTGCAAGATCAAAGCCATGCCCCTTTTTATGTGTGTTGCAATGTACATTTTAAAAAGTAACATGGCTTTGAACAACAAAAGGCATATAACTTATTTGTCTGGGAACTCCACACACAATAATAAAACCATCAATTCTGATTGCAACATCTCCATGAACAATGCAATCTTGGAGCATGCCAAAGCCAGAAAGAAACTGTCTACTATAGTACAAATTCTGGAATATTAGGATTTTAATATTTACCCAGTGCTTCGCTCATCCAAGGTATCTCAGGCTCCACATCACCTATAAGTTCAGGAAATTCCTCAGTCAGGTTTGAACACTGTTTCTGCACATAGAACACTCCTGGAGAAGATACTTTTTTCTCCAAAATGTCCAAAAAAGCACTGAAAGGCATATGACGCTCCTCTGGCATAACAAACCAGTCCTGATAAACCGCATCAGCATAACCATTGGGGGTTACTGCCACACTCACCAGCTTGGAGCCCATTATCTGCCTGCACCAAAAATAGCACAAGAGATTTATCATTGTGCAAGAAACTGAGATTTATGCCAGAAAGAATAATCACAAAATTTTAAGCAAAAGTGGAAGAACACTCTCAGATGTGCTGGGAACATCATCAAGACATCGTATAAGTGACTGACATATTTGTACACACACAAACACACACATATACACACACACATATCCCACCTTTATTATTTGTAGCCTCCTACCTCAAGTAAGCCAAGGTCCACTTCTTCAGAGCTGGCCAGTGGTTGAAAGCATTTCGGATTATACATGGTTTGTTTGGGCAGATCCATTCTCTGTAGAATTCCAGGGGAGGTGGAAGGCTCTCAAGGTATGGCACTGATTCCGACCAACACAACTCTATTCGCACAGAAGAAAAAAATTATGAATACTGCAATCATTCTAGGGATTGACAACTGTGCCTAAAGTTTTTCTTGGAGCAGTGGTAATTTTGTCATTCTTCCCAGAAGATTCAGTAACTGACTGGGAGTAGAATTCTTATACGCCAGATATTTTTGCTGTGCAGGCTGGGATTGTGGAGTGCGAGAACTAAACAGGCCTAGGCTTTTGATAAAGTTATGCCCCACCTGCCTACCTGTATTTCTATCAACTGCCTCCACGTGACACCTCATTATCACTGCTTCATTACAGAATGTACAGGTAGTCCTTGACTTACAACCACAATTGAGCCCAACATTTCTGTTCCTAAGTGAGACATTTGTTTTGCCCCATTTTACGACCTTCCTTGCCACTGTGGTTAAGTAACATGGTTGTTAAGTGAATCTGGCTTTCCCATTGATTTTGCTTGTCAGAAGGTTGCAAAAGATAATCACATGACCCCGGGATACTGTATGAACCAGTTGCCAAATATCCAAATTTTGATCACGAGACCATGGGGATTGCTGCTACGATTGTGTGAACAATGGTCATAAGTCATTTTTTTCAGTGCCTTTGTCACTTTGAATGGTCACTAAATGAACTGTTGTAAGTCGAGGACTGCCTGTACAGCATTTTGTGCAACAGCGCTCCCAATTTTGCAAAGTAGCAAACACACTGGTTATGATTCACTTTGGGGCACTACCAACTGTGCGATGCCAGCAAAACAATGCAGGCCTTTTTATTTATATGGGGGGGGGGGTAGAGATCAGGTTTTCCAGGTTTCCATGGCAGAGAAGGAAGGCCACCCCGCGATCTTTGGACTGCCTTAACACAGATCCCAATCGGCGAGAGAGACGGCTTCTGCAATGAAGCTCCTAATCCTAAAACCTCCCCCTGTAAAAGAATGTGCAATATTCAGCATGGTACTGTATTATTACCATTCTCTTTTCTTCCTATATTCTAGTCCAGGGGTAGGCAACCTCGGCTCTTTTATGACTCGTGGACTTCAACTCCCAGAATTCCTGAGTCAGCATAGCTGACTCAGGAATTCTGGGAGTTGAAGTCCACGAGTCATAAAAGAGCCGAGGTTGCCTACCCCTGTTCTAGTCTATAAATGAATCGTATACCCTTACTTCCATTTATGCACTGAACCAGGGAGGATTAGCTTTCGCTGTCTCTAACGTGCGTCTCATCACACAAACACACCCCGCTCACCCCTGGCTTCGGCGGGAAAATTAGCCAAACAGCATTTCATCGCTCGCAACACCCCCTCTTTCATCTCAGCCTCCGCCATCGGGCAGTCTTGTCTGCGCGTGCACCGACCGCGAACCGCGTGGGCCCACGGCCATTCCCAGGCTCTGCCTTCTGCCTCCGCGGAGGAAGACGCTCACGGCTCCGCCCCCAACTCGACTTCAGTGCCCGGTGGCAGCAGCGGGGAGATGTTTGTGTCTGGAGCTGACAGAGGGTTCCGACGGGCTTGAGTAGTTTCTCTGCGGGTGCAGTTGGGACGAAAACGTGTTCAATAAACCCCAGCGGCGCCACAAAACTTATTAAGACGCGAAAAGGTCGAAGTCGACCTCTCCGTGCATTTCCCTCTCCCCCCCCCCCCCCCCCTGCCTTGTAAACTTCACGGCTGTTTTCGCACGGTCTGCATTCACGCAACCGGTTTTTCAGGGTGTTCTGCAAACGACCAATGCGTCTTAATCTCAGTATGGTTTTTTTGGGGACGGCCCAGTAATCTTCACATCTTGAATCTCTCAAAGATATGTTTAAGAAACCCCAAGCGTGTTTAGCGTTTTTTGAGATTTAGGGAAAACTGGCTGCCATACTGGCCCAGTTAATCTGATTGCATGGAAAAATCTAATAATCTGAGATAATAAATGGGATTTTGTTTTGTTTTTCATGTAGGCTGTGTAAGGTCCCTGGCCCTTACTTAAATTTGAGATACCATTAAAAGTCTAATCAGGCAACTCAAATGGAGGCTTCTTGAGGAAGCGGTGCTTTAATTGATCAAATAAAACAGCTGGGTGGCAAACAATCTTGAACGCTGGCAGAGTTACATCCAGAAGTGCCACATCTTAGACTTATTCCCTCCTTCAGTACATCCCATCCATGTACATATTTCCCATGTTTGCATGAAATTTGTCCCTGATGCAAACGCTGATTACAAAAGTGAGACAGCAATAGTTAGGCTAAACAATTTCTTTTTGTTCCAGTTACAGATCCCTTCATCCCTTTTTAATTTTGTAACAGAATGCTTTCTGTTACTTGGTGACCAATGACATATATTCCTTTGTTATTGTCAGGACCGTGGCTGGCTTATGGGGTTTATCACTACTTACAGAGGATGCTATGAACGTCATCCCCAAGATGGTAGAAGCAACTGTTCTTTGGATAACAGGAATCAAACATGGCAAAACCAGAAGACTTCCAAAAGCTAACACAACCAGAAAAATTTCCCTTCGCCAATCACCAAAGATCTCTCCAAACCAGCTTGTATCCATGGCAGCTGTCCAGGTTTCCGAAGAAGCTGGGTGTATTTCCTCCACACACAGGCAGCAGCATGTAAAAGAAAAGTCACACCCTTATTTTCACAAAACTTTTTTTTGTAGTGTTATTTTAACCAATTTTCTTTATCTCTGTACGTGTGCAAGTGTAGTATAGAGAAGCAAAACAGCACTGTTATTATAAATGTTCTTCATTTGTAATTATTTCTAATACAGTTTGCAGTCTAATAATTCTGTTAAACAAGAGTCCTGTAACTATATACATTCCATCTTCTGCCCAAGTAGCAAGTTCATCTGAGGTGGTCAAGGTGAGGGATGCATCTGTTAGATTGGTCCATAAAGTAGACAGTTGGGGAATGTTTGCCAGGTGATTTTGGGGTTGGGCCAAATCGGTGGTAATCCACCAAAAGGATGCTGAGGTGCTCACCTACAAGAGATGTTCACACCTAAGTCTCCCCAAGGGCTTTACCAAAACCTTGTTGTTGTTTTAAAAAAACAGGTTTCCCACTATGAAAGTGGTCAGAGTCCACACATTGGGTCTATTGGTGGTTTTTCAAGTGAAATTTTGACTAGTCAGGGCAGTAAACTTTATTTCATGTGCTTCCCCAACGCTATTGTTCACCCATGTTAGTAACCACACATATGTAACAATGAGTCACATTTAGAGATGATGCAATTCTTTTGGGCCAGATCAATAAAAAGGTTCTTTGATAATGAGGGAATCTCAATTGTGGTTTTCAGTTCATCATAAAAAGAGTGAAAAATCCAAAAATGTTTGGGCAGATCCATTCTCTGTAGAATTCCAGGGGAGGTGGAAGGCTCTCAAAGTATGGCACTGATTCTGACCAACACAACACTATTTGCACCGAAGAAAAAAATTACGAACACTGCAATCATCACAAATCTGCCTAAATTGAAAAGTCCTAATTAGGTTTCACTTGTTGGCAGAACAATGGCAAAAGAAAGCCACAGTATACTAAAATTGGTTCAAAGGATGCAGTATGAGCTCACTCCTAAATCAAAGTTAAAATATATAATCATTAAAATATGTTTTTAACAACCCAGTTAAAATACTGTCATCCCAATCCAGACCACAAATTCAATTGTGATTAAGGAATATGTCTCATTTAGTTTACCTTAATCACAGTGCATAATCCTGCCAAGTCCAGACTCACTACCCTTCCAACAAAAGGAGCAATTGCACAGCAGTTATTTGTAAATTAGCATTTCTGCTGTCCCCATTTCTTTTTATTGTTGCTATTATTTCACTTTTTATATTTATTTATTAGACTTGTATGCTGCTCATCTTGCTGAAGGTGACTCTTATCCGTTTCCCTTTACGTAAGGGTTTATTTGTAAAACATAAATGCAAACATACAATGCAAATGTTGTAAAATATGCAAATGCACAAACTTATCTAATATTCATTTATTCACTTCTTGTGAGATGGGCAGCTCTATACATTTGATTAATTAATAAATAGTGCCTTTGAATCAGTCTTGACTCCTGAGCAGTATTGTGGAATCAAAGTACGGTATTTTCTATAGCAAACCTATAACTATTACTACGATTACTACTATCTGTACCATATTGGCATACAAGAAAATATATAAATCTTACTTTCTGTATACAGTAAATTTGTACTAATGTTTCTCCCCATTATAACTAGGTTAGCTAACAGATCGTTGCTGAAACATATGAAAGCAAAATTGGCTCTGCTTATTATACTAATTTTTACTTGCTTGGTAATATTATCTCTCCCCCTTTAAGGCCACTGTACAGTTGGTCCATGGATATCATCTTGAGAGGGTTGACCTGCAAATACATACTGCACAGGGAACTAATTTATAGAACAATAATTAGTGATATGTTAAGGAACTTTTGCCTCTTTTCTCAGTTTGAAATTACCGGGGAAAATGTAGCTTATTCCACTTTATTTTGTAGCCCCACTGAGTTCATCAATTGTCTTAACAAAATCATAGTAAACAATAGCATGAAAATAAATTTGTAACAATAAATTTGTTTATTGAAATTTAGACATTGAATACAAATGAATGCAGAATTAAAAACACCCCCCCAAAGTCGCTCACAGTGCAAATCCCCAACAACCATTAAAACAATTTTCAAATAATTAAAAAAGGACATTTTAAAAGGTTCATTTTCCTTTAAAGTCAAGATACAAAACACCATTTATAAATAAGAAGGTCTAGGGATGTTTTCTCCTTTTAAACAAGTGTAAAATAAAAAGGGAGTGTTGAAAGAACACAGATAAAAGCTATCTGTACCCTAGGCTTAAAGATATGTTGTGTAGACATGGCTTACTGTATTCCTAATTTACAGCAGGTTAGCCCAATATATAAGCAGCCCAGCTTCAGCTTATTATTTACACATAATACAGAATATTCTTTTTTTTTAATTTAGAGAAAGAACAATTTAATCAGCAATACCTGAAGGGCCTTACAGTAGCTGCTCTGCATTCTGAATCTGTAATATTTTAAATATGAGATTCTGTAGATCTAGTGGCTGAGTGCACATACATGACAATGTTATTTATGTTTTAAAACACTGCCCTCTGTGTTAGCTAGTTCTTTCTTTGGGATGAATAAGGTCTGAATCAAAAGGAGAAATGAATAAGCCCCAATATCAAAAAGACATTTATACAAAAAAGAAAACAAGTACAGGTACGTAACAGGATATTCATATGTAGAAACACCAGATACATATATCTATAACTGGTGTGCACATATTTCTTGTCTTTGAAAGTTTTCCTGTGTTTCTATAGAAACAGGGATAGGTCTCATTTGCATGCACAATATTTTTTTTAATAAAGGCTATCTTTGAAAAGAGAAATAGTATAAGAAACTTTAAATCACATTAAGAAACATTTCAGAAAACACAGAGACAATATGCAAATATGACAGAAATGGATCTTTTACAGTCTCTCTGATTTTTTTTAATATATAGAAATTGCATGCATACATTAAAAACAGTAGAAATAGTACAGATTGAAATACTGCATTTATATTTTTCCTCCCCTTAGATAACATGTTGAAGTTTCTTTAAAGGGCTAATGGACATCTATAATAACACCAGAAAAACTTCATGCACTTGAGAACAAAAAGTATGCTAGCTGACATTTTACTGTCACAAAATCTTATAATCCAACTTTTTAAAAAGCAATGCTCCACAGTTTATATCTGAATTACTATAAGGTGCCACCAATGACTAAAAAGTGTATTTTACATCAAGTATTTTCCATGGAGAACATGTAGGCTTTTCTCCTGGTTCTTCTTGACCGCATAGAGAAAATAAGGGAGGTTAGAATCTCATGGAACTCAAATGGCTTTGAGAAATTTTATTGGCTGAGAATATTCATTCCCAATGCCCAAATCATATATATTAGTGGGAAAATAAAGGGCACTTGAAAAGACAAACATATCTCAAATTCTTAATTACAAACTCATTTACATTATTGTTTAACTGCTAACTCTACTTACAATATCCCTTTTCCACTCCAGAACTTTTTCATTTCTATTTTGCTCCTTGAATCAACTGATTCTCAATCCTATAACTTTTCTAGAAGCCTTCGGTATGCCTTTAAATATTAGAAATTACAGGCCTATCCATTTCTCCTCAAATATCTACTTACTCAAGACTCACAAAACTACAGTTCTAGTTCACATCCAAGTCCCCATCTGTATTATAGTATTTTCCCGCCTGGGTGTATGAAAATAAATAGTTCCTGATCTAAGAAAAACACAGTGAAACTTATTCACTGGAAACTGCTTTGAAATTAACAGGGGTTTAGATGTTGCCTCTTATCCAAGGCAGTCCCTGATTAATCATTACTCGTTAATGCTTGAGGTATAAATGATCAGCAAGTTGATTTTATTTCCAAAGACATTTGAATGTTTGACCCTGTCAAGATTGAATAGACACTCTGAATTCCTCATTGTTCATGCCACAGGATATCTGGAAGCATGACTTCTTTACCTGAGTGCATGTGTCCCAGCATAGGAAAGGTTCCTGAGCATTGAACACTTTTTACAGTCTAGATATGAACAAGGAAGAAGACATTTTGGCTGTTAAGACATTTCCCAACATGGATATGTAGAAAATAGCCACCTTAATTTTCACTTAAATTAAGAGTACTGTATATTCCAGCAGTCTATCCTGAGTTCTTTTGTATCGCTGAATTGAAGCATCTATAGCTGGAAAGAAAAAGCTCAGTTTTAAGAAGCGCATCAACTATCATTCAAATCTATTCAGAGAATTATCTAAACAAATCCAGAAATGACATAATTAAACAGCACTAACTGCTCCAAGTCCCCAGCCTTGGAGTTCAGTGGACAGCCAAAATGGGAACAGCTCTGCAGATCTCTTTAACACTGCAGTGGTGCTGAATGAAAGTCAACAAGATTCAGACAAAAAGCTATACCACAGATGGCCAGTGAAGACAGATGTTCACATGACAGTTTACAAAATGCAAGTTGAAAAGCCACTCAGTCTATTCCACCATGGTGCCCTCTAGATTTGACTGTGAGCACAAATCTTCAGAATTTTAATTTGGGCCATGCTGGCTAGGAATTCTCCCCAAAGTTGTTTTGACCTCAACAAATCTAGGAGGCAGAAGAGGAAGGCTAGGCTATAAAGTGAAGCTATTTATTAAAATGATCAGATCAGCAGTAAGAAATACCACTATTGTCTAACCTGAAAGAACAGTATTAATGTTTTATAACTTTATTGTTTTAAAATGGTTTCTTTTTTATCAGTGAATACTTCAGACATGTTAGGATTAATAATTCAATACAAAGAGTACCATAGCTGAAAGGATGTAGATCTGCACTTACTTTCTTCTTTATTTGAACATGGGCAATGTGCTAATTGATATGAAATTGGAGACGCCTAGCATAATGTAGAACACAGTAATATTTCATGCAGCTTTAGTTATGTTCCAATGTAAGGGAGGGAAGGAAATAGAATAATAATGTCATAACAATCAATATTTCCTGAACACTCACACTTTGTTTTCAAATTTCAGCCATAGACAGAGAAAGGGGATCTCTCTTTTGGGAAGTTAGGAATATCTGAAGCTTTCCCAGAAGATGTATTGATTAGAAGCTTTCATCAGTCTGTTCTGTGACTGTTTTCTATCACTATCCATTCCCCATCAAATCAATCTTTCTACATTTCTATATCCACGAAAACAGAACAGTGCTAACATCTTGAGTCTAGTAGCTAATGCCACTGACATAACCAAGCAGTAAGAATTTTAAAAATTGGATAGTTATTCAACTGCATCAATTTGACTCTGGTAGATCTAGTTTTATATAAAACCTAAGAAAAGTAGAACTAGTCAGGTTAAAAAAAGCCTTTCTTTTAACCAACAAGCTTTGTAACAAATCTCTAGAAGCTGAGTCAAAAGATAGATGTTTTGTGGAAACAAATGTCAATGAAAAGTAGAGCACATAATTTTCTTTAAACAGAAAATGGAAGCAGAATGATCATAATGCTAAATACAAAATTAAAATAAAACATATTGGCATAATAAAAAGGAATAAGGAAGCAAAATTTAGCAATGCAGGCTACAACAGAAAGCAGTTCTATAACCTATCTGTTCCATCAATATATTTACTGTATCAAATCTCACTATAAATGTGGAAAACATGTCAAAATAACCATAACTACAAAACCCAGGTAAAAAGTTTCAGAGTTATAATTGCAAAAATAAATTAATAAATAAAAGTTTTAATAGTGAATACCTAGTTTGAGATAACACTGCAAAGGGACAAACCTATTTCATCTTGATCTCATTCTATTAAGTCAGCAGTTTCAGACTGTGCCACCCCTGGACTGATTCCCTTTAATTGCTAGAATGGTTTTTTAAAGCCAAATATTTCTTATAACACTCTTAATGGAGGAGATAGGCACAAGGGGATTAGTACTGTGACCAGCACATTTTAAAAAGATGTGGACAGAACTGTTTCTGTTAAAAGAAAAGATATTTGCCCGTTGGATTAAAAAAACACCCCAAAGTATTATTTCAAGTTGTCAATATGATAAAGTTCCATCAGTTTTTGTATATGGTTCTAAGCATTCCATTAAAAACGTGTGTCGTTGAAAACTCTAATTAAAGTTTTTTATCCATACGTCGTTCAACAGCTTGTAGCAGTAACTCTGAATATTGTTCCAACAAGGCGAGAGTTTGGTCATCTCCAAAATGCCGAGGACTAGATAAAGTTTCACCACTGCTCTCCCCTAATGGCATCCCAACTATATTTTGTGGCTGCATCAGTTGATTTTTCTTCCTTTGAAGTCCTTTACCATCTTTCAGGGAATCCAAATCTCTTTTCATTACAGAGAAAGTTTCAGTGAAGAGACCAGCAATCTCATCTTTGTCAGGTGAAGATTCCATGTCAGTAGATACCTGAACAAGAAATGCAAATAGGCTTGTTTTAGAGCTAGGTTTTTTATTTTAGAAAAGCAAAGGAATAGACAAAAACTATCAGCAGTAAATCCTATGTTGCAAGATTATCACTTGCAATCATAGAAGAGTGTTTAAAATTCAAGTCACCCTTCCTCAATCTGGGCATTCTTCAGATATATGGATTTGGGGAAGAGGGAAGGGTCAGGCAAAAGAGAGATTACCTACGGAAATTGCTTGCTTTTTTTCTCTTCCTCCTACCCCTCACAGAGAAGAGAGATTGGAGAAAAAGAGATTTCAAAAGAATACTGTGAGTTTTCTGTCTATGGCTCTGAGCTCCAGGCTGCCACGTGATTGCATTGCTTTTGATGTAAAGAGCTCACTCTCTTGAAATCCATCTTTAATCTCTTTGGTCTGCAGTGGAGGGAGGAAGGGAAGGATCAGAAAACAGGAAGAGAAGGGCAAGGAGAGATTGGCTACTTGTTTTTTTTCTCCCCACCCTCTTGCAAAATGGAAAGATTGGAGAGAAAGAGATTTGAAGAGAATACTGTAAACTGCTTGTACAGCATGCCCATGATCCCCCAGCACCAGGCCGCTAGTCCAATCACATTGTCTTCAATGTATAAAAGAACAAACACCTTATTTTCTTGCAATCTGTTTTTCTCCAATCTCTCTGCTGTACAAGGGGAAAGGGAAACACAGGGCAGGCGAAGGGCAACGGGTACTGACTGTAATTATATTCACGTGACTGAGGGATCCTACACTGGTGATAAATGGCTATAAATGGGCCATAAAATTATTTCTTCAGCACTGTCATAATTTCCAGTGTTCTCTGAATGAATGATTGGTAAGTAAGGGCTACCTGTAATTGTTTAAAAACAGCAATATTTTGTCTTCTTCCACTTCTGATGAATTTTAAAAATCAAGCCAAACAAATGCATTTCATGATGCTTCTGCGTGGTTTTTGGTCACTTGCAAGTAAAGAAAAAGTAAGGAGCTGCTAAAATCTTATGAATACATAATTATAATACATATTTTGGCCAGTATAGCTGGTCAGCCGCTTGAAATTCTTTCAGCTTACCTTCTGATTTGCTAATGTAGTTAATCTGGTTTCTAATCACACACAAGAAGAACAGATGTCTATTCTTTAATGGAATTTTTTTTTTGCTCCTATCCTTAGCTATATATTTTTGAATTAATATGTTGGTTTTATACATAAGCAGTTAGATCTAACAGAAACAAAGGGGTGACTTACCATGTGATATATCTGGATGGCCTTACGCATACTGTCCTGGAGCTCAGACACTACATGCTTGCATTGCTCAACACTGATTGAAGAACCTGATAGTGTGGAGGAACAAGAGAAGATAAATACTGAACAGAAGTTTAATTTCAGTCTGCCCTAGGATTCACTACTGAAAAATACTAAGTCATGCAAAATCATACCAGTTTTGGAGAAGTCATTGATTCTTGAATATTGATAATGTGAAGCATATGATTACCATTACAATTCATGAAATGTATTTTAATTCAAACATTGTCAATTAATTTGATTTGTCAAAGAAAGCATGCTGAGACACCAGTTAGGCCTATCCATAACCAAAGTTGCTTTGCCTTTGTTTCCTTCCCATCAATAGGCATATCCAAAATAGTAAAACAGTATTTCTAAAAAATAAAAAAAAAAGGAATAGTTTTTAAAAAGTGCAAGAGTAATATAGATTGTTTAGGTTTGGCTTAGCCGATTCAACCTGAACTTGCCAGATTTGTTTATTAATTAAGAAATGCTGGTTAAACAGCTATGATTTAGTGCAATTGGTGATCCTAGTCAAAAAGTCTGATCCCAATTAAATAAAAAAGTACATCATATCTATAAGAAATCTGAGTACTAGAAATTAATAATTTATACAGTAATTCATATAATCCCCCAAAGCATCTTCTTTTACAGACTCATTAAGAGGGATACAATATAAGGGACTGATGGTTATAGAAAGTCTATTTTAGCATTACATCACTTTCTTGCAAGTATTAAAAGGCAAGTTTAACTTTGGTTACTTACCTAGCTGCCATCCAACTAATTAAGCACAGTCAAACATGTAAAAACATGTATATGACACACAATGAATGACATAAAAATGGATAGAAATAAACATATGCGTAAGCCTTTATGTCCTGACAAAGATAACATTAAGACCCACCAAAAATTCTTCTGTAATTAAAAAAGAGATATTTTAAGCTGAAGAACTGCAAGAACTGACTGGATTCAGGATAAAGACTTGCTCAACTCAAGCACTTGATAGCCACACAAATGTACACATTTTGGCAAAGATCTGACCATATCCTTCTTCGGGATTTTTTTTCCAGTTTTCCAATCTATCCTACAAATCTGGGATTGCCACCTTCAAAGAAAAAATTCAACACCAGCTAATATTTGAGGTCTTTACATTCTTCACATTCTTGTTAATTTGCAATATGAATAATCTCTACAATCTTGTTAACTATTTTTCCTGAATGAATTATTAACTGTTCTCTTTTCATTATAAGAGCAATTCTTCCATTTTATATATTTACATTGCTGTTGAAATCAATCAATGCCAATGCAGATATATAGACATGTTGCTAATGGTATCTAAGCATCCCAAAATTCTTAGATGAATGATGTACAAGTCTTCAGACCTAATGGCAATGAACTTTCAGCCATGAATAGCAGATAGCCACTGTGACGACCATACTTCGTTTTCCATGTCTTTTTCTTCCATAAAGACAAATAGGTGCACAATTGGTAGATGGAAAAAGACTGAAAGCAGATGTTAGAAAACTTTTCCCAAGGCCCAAAGTTGCATGCAAGCCATTAGTAAAATATAAAATGACACTCACTCCTGCCCTCAAGAATCCTTTGTTCTAATGTGATTGAGCAGTACAATTTATGTGGGACATAATTTCAAGGAAAGGCGTTTCTATAGCAAAACGTGAAGCCTATTACAGCATTAAAAAGAGTGCTTCACTATTTGCTCCTGATATTTTATGGAAAAGCATTTTATTAGGTTGATGTAATTGTGTTGTTGTTTTAGTTGATATTTAATGAAGCTTTATTGGTTGCTGTAAACGTGCTTTAGAAATGGATGGTTAAAAATAAATATTCTTTTATAATACACCTGTTATTCCCTACCAATATAACCACTTTATTCAAATTGATGAATAAATTATTTCTGGACAAATCCATTGTGAAGAGGACTTAAACATGTCTTTGTGAAATCATCTTTGCTGCAAGGAAGACCTGGACAGAGCTGCCCTTCAACAGCTGACCATGATATTCTTCTGGAAAGTTTGAACTGGGTATATGTTGAATACATTAACAAGACTCAGATATAGATGTTATGCATCTGGGAGATTTCTACTTAATGCAGCACTGTATCTTGCTGTTTAACTGCAGCATTGTATCTTGCTGTTTAACAACTATATTAAATTGCTGAATGATTCAGAGGTTTAGAATAAAGTGCCACCAGCGTTCGGGTGCCACACAAAAGTTTCTCTTTCTCTTTTTCATCAAGTTCAGGTTTGGTAGTAGAAATATATGACTATGGAACTGAATTAAATCAGATAAGAGCCAATAAACCAAAAAATCAGGACCTGTTCATGAACTGATTTGTCTTGGTAAAGGTTATTCAATCTGTTTTAGAAAATCTAGATGATCACATTCGTTGCTTGGGAATACTTCTAGATCTAATTTTGTCTTTAGAATCAGTAAGAGTAGCAGCTAGCGGAAGGGAGGAGGGTTAATTTGGTCTGAACCTCAAATTTCGGCACTTGTTAGCTAATTTTTAATATTTAAAGTATTGAAATTATGTAGAATTTATTTGTGACCAGCTCTAATTTTATGTGATAGAGGAGATAGCCTTACATCAGTTAATACAAGCTAGGGTGCTCTCTCATCTTAGTTACTGCAAATCCCTGTACAGGGGATTGTTGCTGAAGACAGCCAAAAACTTCCACTTAAAGATGAACATTCAATGCAGCTGGTTTTAAAATAGGCAGCATTTCATCCTTTTTATTGCCCTCTAGTTAATTTCCTATCTTAATTCAATGTGTTCGTATTAGCATATAAAGCATTTCACAGCCGACAGTTTTTGAAGGAATGATTCTTTCAATTTCATACTCAAATCAAATGATATCCACAGTTGGTTTCTCAGGACTGGATTCAAGTGCTCTAAAACAGAGGTCCTCAAACTTGGCCACTTTAAGACTTGTGGACTTCAACTCCCAGCACAGCTGGCTGGGGAATTCTGGGAGTTGAAGTCCACAAGTCTTAAAGTGGCCAAGTTTGAGGACCCCTGCTCTAAAACTACCGTATCTTGTCAATAAGACAGTTTATTTTGTTATGTTTTCAATGCTAAAGAGATGAAAGTTTTCAAAACATTTTCAACCCCCTGAAAAATATTCCGTTTCAAATATTTGTTTTCAACTAAATTTAAACTCTTTTTTTAAATCACTTGTAATAAAATACATTCAATGTTTGTGGCCTCTTGTAAACGAACTAAGTTCACATTATCTGCAATGCAAACTTACTCAACTAACCAAAGTGACTTGTGATACAGAGATACATTACTACTTTGAAATCCAACAAAAAAATATTACAGAAGACACTTAATTTTCTGCAAGTGGACTTCTGCTAGTATAAGGGAATCTCCTTTCCCCACTATGTGCCCAAGTCTGCTCCTGGGAGTCTCTAAATTTTCCAAAACAATTTTTGGGAAATTGTTCTGCAGGGTGGAAGATTATCAATGGACAGATCTTCATCTCCTGCAAACATTTCTGTAACACCCCCCCCTTCTCCCATATTTCATTCTACTAAAACTTAAAAACTTTGGAATATTTGAAATGTATCCTTTAAATTCTAGATGTTACTTTTATCCTTCTTGCTACCTCACAACAATTTCCTTTTGTTTCTTACGCTGCTTAAGTGTTAACATACAGTATCAGAAAAGCTTGAGAATTTAATACTGTTTAATTCTGGCAACATTGGGCATCAAATCCTATTTTTCATAATACAGAACATTACTTAAAAGATTTATTGTTTACTATTCTTAACTTCTCTTTTGAAGAAGAAACACATGAGAGCTGTAACATATGCATGCACCAAAATAAAATGTAAGAACAAGTGGAAACAGAAATCAGACTGAAATGTCTCACCACTGAAAGGATGGCTTATAATGACAATGCAGATTGGACGTAACAATCAGAAGCTAAATGGAAAGAAACATGATGGAAAGGGAAGCTGTTAACAAAGACAAAAGAGAGTAAAAGAGATAGGAGATAGATATCTATGCACACCTGAATCCTTTCCAAGGCCTTTTGCATTTGTAGGAGACCTTGGCCCACTTTGTTCATAAGAGCAATGCTCATCATTTGCTGGCACATAACTAGTAGTGGCAAGTTTATCTCCGCATTCCAGTGGCAGTTTTTCTGGAGAATTCGGATGCAGTTCATCTGAAGGCTCTTTTAGTTTAGAATTAGTTACTCTTGGCTCAAGTTGGGCTTTGGACCCCAATTGTGTTTGGTTCTCTTTCAGAGTGTCTGCATAGGGACTCAAAGGACTACTTTTACCAAAGCCAAGAGGTCCAGATGCTTGACTTTCCAATTTCAAGGCCCATCCTTCAGGAAAAGACTGTTTCTTTTTCCCAACAGCAACAGGTGACTGAGGAGATTCTGATCCCAGCACAGTTTTTGACTTTGTCTTTGGTGAGAAAGAAGCTAATATCGGTCTATCAGGGAGAGGCTTGGGGATGTCAAGGGTCAAATGGGCCCGACTAGATACCAACTTGCTATGAAAGGACTTGGGTGATGAAGAGCTTGTAGTTTGCTGAAGAGAAAGTTTCACTGGGCTGTTGTCTTTCACAAATGGCTTATTCTTCTCAATGTCCTCTAACAGATTTAATCTTGTTTTCTCTGATACTTGTGGGCTGATTTTCACTTCATTCTGGTTTTCTGAACCATCACCAAAGCACAGGTTCTCTCCCACAGACACACTACGGGACATCTTGGCCATGAAGCTAGTGGTAGGACTCATGTACGACTTTGGTTTTGTAGCTTTAATGTCTTTGGCTTGCAAACAACTGGAACTTTCCATCTTCAACAGTGCTGCAGAAAATGTCTGACAATGATTGGATTTTGGTTCCTTCTCACCTACCATTAGTGCCTGAGGCCGCTGCCTGACAGACAGTATCACGCCAGGAATTTTATCTGTAGAAATGGAATAAATAAATGCACACAACTGGTCTGGAGCAATTTGTGCAATCAGAATTAAAATAGCTCCAGCTTCTAAATGTAATTATTTCACTTTAATTTCTGGAAGAAATAGTAAGCAAAATAACAATGTTATAACACTTTGTTCTACATAGTTTTTCTCTAAACATCATTACCTTAATTTCTGTTAGAAAAATTTAGACAAGAAATAGTGTTACATGTCTTATTTGGGTCTTTTGCCTGTGTAACATGCGATAAACCGGAAAGTTGCAATGGCACATCTCCTTTAAGGCAAAAAGTAGCCACAGAATAATAATCCCAGGTTGTTATTGCTAACACAGAATTTGTGATATTTATCCTGTGAGTAGTGCAAAATACTAAGAAAAATAAATGCAGTCCCAAAGAACACATGTAATACAGGAGGAAAAATGTGAGATGCCAGTCCCCAGACACTGAACTAATTTATTACCAAGAAGTTCTGGATGCTTTAAAATCTACTGGGCTAAACTCCTGTCTACAACTGAGAATCCAAAGCCCTTTGAAACTCAGTTTACCAGGACAGAAGAGAAGGAGAAGCAGTTACTGTTTTCATTGTTTCTTCTTCTCCTTTTTCTTTATTTCTTAAAATTGTTGCCCTCCCACTGATGTCAAAAGAAGCAGGGGGAAGGAATTATGTTCAGGGTTTCTGTAGGTCTCTCTGAATCCTGTTTCATGTCAAGGACATAGGAGGATTGCCAAAGTCTCATTCATTACACCAACAGAATGCTGCCTGATCCATTCACTTTTCCCCACAATTGATAGGGAGGGGAGGGCAGCTAATGTTTTCACAGGGTTGAGTGAGACCAAATCTTCTTTTCTGAGGGCAGATCTCTTTCACACTTGTTTAAAAGAAAAGATCTAGGTAATCTTTCCTTTCTTTCAGGGGTCAGTGGACTTGTAGCTTATTTTTTTAAACAATGACCGCCTTCTGAAAGAGCCAGTCAAGTTGCCTCTTATCATCAGATGGAGGAATTAGCATTTCCTTCTGATCAGTGTATATCCAACTCAACCCACCTCTGAGATTGATCAGTAATTACATTTTGTAGTGAGAACTTGTCATTTCTGAATGAAAACATTTAGGATTTTCAGCCTCATGGACAAATTCCCATTGTGAAGTCATCATTCTAACCATTTCATAGAAGGCACTTCCTTACCATTATGAACAAGATCATGAACTGATTGGGATTTCCACAATACCGCTTCTCCATCGCTACCTGGGAAAGAGCCAACAGATCGTCCATGTCCTCTGTTGATCTCTACAGCAGATTTTCTTTTTTTCTGCATATAAAGTGACCTAATGGAATTAATATCATTTTGAAGGAAGCCATTCTCCATAGGAATGTGCTGGTGGTCCAGCCCATTCTTCAGCAGTTCATTGGTAACTTGCTTTGGCAAAGCAGACCCTTCAGTAGATTTCTCACCCAGTACCAGCTTTGATGTAGAAGCTGAGTGTTCCCTATGGAATTGAAGACAGGACAAGATATTTGATCGACAATTTTGTGCCATCATAATGCTGCATTTCTACCATCTACTTCTATATAACATCATTATATTGCATTATTGCTAACTACTATAAAATACAGTAGTTCTATAAAGGTGTTTCCTAAGGACATTAAATAATATTTAAGGCTAATTCTTTCCATAAAAAACTCTTCTTATAGAACAGTTGCCAATAAGAACGGTTGCCTGGCTATACCTGACAGAATGATTTAGGGAAAAGGAGGAACTTGCACTATGCAAGGCATAGTAACTCTCTGTTATTATTGGAGTAATCTCTGAATATGAGATAGTTGAGATCTTAATATGAGATAGTTGGCATGGCTATGTCTGACTAGATGATTTAGTGACAAGGAGGAAATTGAAGCAAGTAAATCTGTTATCAGAGTAAGCTCCACTTGACTTACTAGGTCTAGGACAGGGCTTTTCAACCTTTTCACTCATCGTACCACTTTTAGGATATGGCAGTATCTGAGTACCATCAGTCACCTAGCAAGGTGTCAAAAACTTGATGACCCCCCCCAAAAAATGAAAAAAAATGATAAAGTACAGGTAGTCCTCGACTTACAACAGTTCGCTTAGTGACTGTTTGAAGTTACAATGGCACTGAAAAAAGTGCCCCCCAAGGCACAGCCGAGCAAGACACCTGCCTGCCCGCCCGGCAGCACTCTCATTCCCCTCCCCTACTACCACTTTTCTAGGATGGTCGCGTACCACCTGCCAGGTGCCAATGTACCACAGGTGGTACCCGTACCACTGGTTGAAAAGCCCTGGTCTAGGAGATATAGGCAGTTGCTCTGGTCTCTTGTATGCTGACAAAAAGCAAATCAAAGACTTCCCAATAGAAATAACACTTTTATCCAACACACAAAAACTCCACATTCCATAATTCATAATATTTCTATAATAAGAAATGAAATATTCATGCAGCATTGAAGATTAAGCATTTTTGCCCCTCACCTAATGAAATCAGATTGGAGCTGATTAGTAAACATTTTTTTTACCGTTCAAGTTGAATGACATGCTGAAGTAAAATAAAATGCCTAAACAGCAGACTAAATAAAATGTTAAGGTTCGATCATCATTATACCACAATTAACTTATTTATTCAGCTTAAGAAATAAATGCAGTTATAAAGCATCTTGATCAAACATGGCACATTTTGGCTTTTGTGTTTTTCCTGAAAATATGCATCAAAAAGACTGGAAGCTTCATCTAATCTCATTTTTGTTCCTCAGAACTAGAAGGTACACCACCTTAGCTCACCCTGTCTGAGCAAACAAAGCTGTTTTGCATTCATAATAAGTGGAACTCTACCTGAGTACTGGAAACCGAGATAGAAACCGAGAAGAAATACTGTTTTCCATTCTCTCCAGGGTCCTACAGGATCCATCTGTCATTTAAAAAAGAGGAAAGGTATTCAAATTAGGGATGAAAAGCTGCGGGGGATTTGGATGTGAAATTTCAGCAAGAGAAACTTGACTTAGGTTTTTCTATTTTGCGTACAATGTACAAGAACAAAGATCCTCAGAGATAGCATACTTTGCTTTGCACTCCATATTATATTACAAATTATCCTGTGAGTTCAATGGAACTTGATGCCATTGTTTTCAGGATTGCAAATTAATAGATAACTATTAGTTTCATCTTGACTAATTTATGGCCATAAACACCTATACCTCTTTCTTCTAACATTAGGCAATTCAGCTGTTTCTGTCTGAGAAGCTTAGATGCTCTTATTTAAACCAGAGCATTAATCTGCTTTCATTTCACTGATCAAGGTCTAAAGAGTCTATGTTGGGAGACTAGTGGACTTCCTTTTGTAATTGGTTAGCCACCATGAGAATAGACTGCTGGATTAGATGAGCCAAGAGTCCGATCCAGCAGGGCATCACTTATCTTCTTACAGGCTGTATGATGAGGGATAGGAATCTACAAATTAATATATCAAAGATTAAGGTACTTGTGCCTGACAGAGAAAATGGAGTGAACTGTTATAGTTTCCATTGGATATGCTAATGTACCCTTATCACTGTTACTGGCTAGAGTCTCAAAATGCTGCTTGAGGAATTTCTCTTGATCTGGAGTCGTGGGAACATCTCCATTCAATAGTCCAGTGTTTACATCTTCTTCATCTTCTTCACCCACTTGCTCATCCAAGTCTGAAGTGCAGTCCACACTGAGAGGCTCAGTACTCTCCGAATCTGAAATGGGAAATGATACACATCATATGCCATTTATACAAAACATTATATCAATAGACTCTGAAATAATACATTGCACTAAGTCATTATACCATTAACAGAAACATTTTTGGTCCATTCCACTGTAACAATTCTGGACACATGGGGATGGTATTATTATTGTTATTCTATTTTTCAAACATGTATCATGGTATAATCAACTGAATGTTGATTCCAATGATTCAAAACTTAGCCAAGGATTTAAGAGTCAGGGAATATGGTGTAATACGTACACAGTTCCAAGTATTTCACAAAATTAGTCTGTCAAGTCCAATACATTTAAAAATTTCTAAACATTTTGGAAGTATATCAAGTTATGACTATAATTGGCATGATAACTGATATTTTTCACCATAATCGTTTTAACCTTAATTTTAAAATCACAATATTCTGTTTTCTCCAGTTGATTTTCATCAATTAAACTGTCTCTGGGTACTGCCTCATCAGTGAACTATTTTTAATTTTTTTGCTGTAACAGTAATACCTGGTGTATTGTGTTTTATGTGTCTATCAGTCTGAATTTTGAAAACCCACAAAATGCTGGTCTCACTTTACAAAACTTTTCAGGCACAGGATCCCAGTGGCATTTGTAAACAGCCAAATTTTCTACATAAATTTCAACGCATATTTTTTCCCAGCCCTATTATGATATTATTTATGCTCTGAATTTTTTTCCTCTACAGCACTAATAAGCAGTCTACAGCTTTAGGCTTGCTTTTACAACATCATCGTTATCATCATTTCCCCATTCTCTCCAAAGCCTTTCCTCTGCAATGCTCTACAGGAAGGGTTCAGTCTGGAATATTATCAACTTCAATCTGCAACATTTGCAGGTCACATCCATTGGTTTGTTTGCTCTTTTGGAAAAACAAGGAAGGGAAAAGCTATTCTTACTTGAAGAAGTCCTATACAGAGAAAGAAACTGTATCCTCAAAGAATTAATTCACCTAACTTTAAACTCTAATCCCCATAACACTGCAATAGTTTAAGTAAATTTATCTTTCCCCATCCCATATGTCTTGTCCTCTGAGTGATCCTTGCCAGATCAATTTTTTTCCTATTCTCACAAATTGCATCCACTCTAATTTAAGCCGTTCTTCCTGTTAAGGTCTTTGTCAGGCTATTCTGTTAGGCCCTTTTTCTGTTTTCTATTGCATGTATAGAGACTCTTTTGACCAAATAAACAGAGGATAAACAACAATTTTATTCTTAGAAACTCCATTTGGTCCCAAGTAGGTAGAAGCTCTAGCTTCCAATTTTATTATTAGAAATTTTACATTTGCGTTGCCATTATTTGCATCAATTGCATCATTATCTAATTTGGTTGTCTAGATGGTCATCATTTTAATGATCACTCGTTCAACACCTGTTTGAACTTATAAATGGCACTGAACAAGTGATACTAACAACCAGTCTTCATATTTGTGATGGTTGCAGCACCCTGCAGTCACAAAGGTAGGACAAGAAGCAACGGGTGGAAACTAAGCAAGAAGAGAAGCAACCTAGAACTAAGGAGAAACTTCCTGACAGTTAGAACAATTAACCAGTGGAACAGCCTGCCTCCAGAAGCGGTGAATGCTCCAACACTGGAAGTTTTTAAGAAGAGACTGGACAGCCATTTGTCCGAAATGGTATAGGGTTTTTTGCCTGAGCAAGGGGTTGGACTAGATGACCTCCAAGGTACCTTCCAACTTTACTATTATTATTATTATTATTATTATTATTATTATTATTATTATTATTATTATTATTATTATTATTATTATTAAAGTGGGTTTTGGGTTGCAGTTTGGGCACTTGGTCTCTAAAAGGTTCGCCATCACTGGAATAGGGGGTACCTTGCTCAATAGTAGTAACTGTGAGAGGGATCTCGGAGTCCTAGTGGACAATCACTTAAATATGAGCCAGCAGTGTGTTGCAGCTGCCAAAAAAGCCAACATAGTGCTAGGCTGCATTAACAGAGGGATAGAATCAAGATCACGTGAAGTATTAATACCACTTTACAATGCCTTGGTAAGGCCACACTTGGAATACTATATCA